AGGAGGAAAAGATGGTGTGGTATGACGTATATAAGCCATCAATTAGGAAGCAGAAATAAGAGCAATTTATCCTACAGCTAGAGTTTAGTCAACATGGATAGGTAAATTTTTATCCTGATTTGGTGGTAAATAATAGCCAATGGGAAAAACTAAAGATGGTGATGTCAGTTCCCACTTTGGTAGTTTCTTCAGCACAGTTTTACAATAGAAGAGAGATCTATTCCTGTGTACTGCTTAGAATACCATTCATTTGCATGAAAAGTCCAAACTGGAAGATTTGGAATGACTATTTAATGTTAAAGATTGAATAAAAAGACTTCTGTTTCTAACAAAATGTGGAAGTATATTCAAGAAATTTTCAAGGGGGAGGGAAGGAAACAAACTGCTGGTTAGAGAAAAGATATTTCTAAATGCGCGGAGGAGCTGTCAGAACAATAAAGAAAGTGGTTGGGGGCCAAAGGCAACAAGAAAGCCCAAAACCAGGGAGGTAAAGAGTAATGGTGTTTGCCCTGGAGAATATGCCAGTCTCCATCAACCTAGCATCTGTATCCACACAAGCACAGAAATCAGGTTTGGAACCATAGCAAGAGATAAAGAAAAACTTGGGAAATACAGCATAATACTAGACTACAGAAGGGCAACAACCCCAGTGAATCAACTAGTTAAAAACCTGCCAAAAAGAGGAAATGGTAGAAATACTTGCCAGTCTTCCAAGAGAAATTCTAAGCAGTCACATGAGTTTGGGTTCATGATTCGTATTAACTATTTGGCAAGAAAAATAAAGTAGAAATTTAAATACTTCCTGAAAATTAAAAAAAGGAAAAATCTCTTTAAATCTGGTGTCAGAGTTCCCATAGGTAAGAAAACAAAGGACATGCATTTATAATCAAATATTACCCCAAAACCTGTAAATAATAAACCACTATATAATTGAGAATCAGCTGAAACAAGTAAACAAAACCAAGAAGCTCCAAACCTAAATAATGACAAATAATGGGATAAGAAGGCATTTAATATAATTAAAGAAATTAAGCAAGATACTGGAAGAATAATGAAGAACAAGACACTATAAAAATGACAAGGCGTGTATCACTACATGATATTCTTGCCAAAATGTTTAAATTAAATTGAGTCGTGAGGAAATAATCAGAAAAAGCCAGATTGTTCAACATTCTACAAGACAACTATATTTGATGCTTCAAAAATATCAATGCTATGAAAGGAAAAACAAAGATAAAAGGTATAGTTCTGGATCAGAGTACCTCAGCCTCAACACTATTGACATTTGGGGTTGGATAATTCTTCCTTGTGGGAGATTTCCCCTGTACATCGTAGCTGTTTAGTAGCATCTCCATTCTCCACCCACTGTATGCCAATAGTTCTCTCCCCACCTCCCACAAACTTGGACAACCAAACGCATCTATGAACGTTGTCAAACGTCTCAGAGGACAAAACTGCCCCCACTGAGAAGCACTGTTTCTAGGTTAAAGATACTAAAGAGAAATGACAACCAAATATAATGCATGATCCTTGACTAGGTCTTTGATTAAAAGTTTATAATGTACAATTTGGATATAATTTGAAAATCCTGAATATTGATTATAAATAAGATAGTATTATACTACTGTTAATTTTCTGGATTTCTTGAGAGATATATGCTGACTTATTGAGAGGTAAAATGAGATGCTGTAAACTTCAAATTATAAAAAAATATACATGTGTGAGTCTACGTGTATGCTTGCATGTGTGTGTATAGAGCAAGCAATGTAAGTATGCAAATGTGGCAACATATTAACAATCATTAAGTTTAGGGAAAAGGGAGATGTGTGTTTAATTCATTATACTGTTCTGTCAACTTTATTACATATTGAAATGGTTTTTTTCAAATTGAGAAACAAATATCCTATCCATTCTTCAAGGCCCAGTTTAAGTACCAACTTCCTCGTGAAATTTTCCTTCCCTATTCATAATCCATCCCTCTGATAAAACACTAACCATGCAGACTTGAATAACAACTAACAGAACCTGTAGAAACGAAATTATTTTAATTGATATTTGATATCAGATACATATATTAGCAATACATTGGACAAAATGAGCATAGATAAACTGGAAGATGATCTAAAGAAATTATTTGGAATGTAGCACATAAAGACAAGGAGACGAAAAATGTGAAAAATACAGAGAATACAGTGAGATGATCTTCCATATACCAAATGAGACTGGCAGAATGAGAAGAGGAGGCATGAAGAGCTAGAGCTAAGAATTTTTCAAAATCCATGAATAACGTAACTGCTGAGTCTAAAATGAATTATAGCTAACTGACCCTCACTAGCAGAATGTCTAAAGATGTACATCAGTAATATTCTGACTCCAAATTACAATGTGTATGGGTTCTCCTACATCACCAAACAATTTTCTGACACCAGTTGGATGTCCTACAATTCAACTCAATCCTGACACTATTTACCTGAAGATAACATTAGATCCCATTAAGAACTCAGTCTTACAAGACTGCTTCCTCTCCAACTGCAGAAACCAATCACCTGGGCTTCTGACCCACCGGCTGTAGATTAATTGGAGGTTCTAACACCCTCCTTCTTGGGTTCAACTGATTTTCTAGAGCAGCTCACAGAACTCAAGAGAAACATTTCACTTACCAGATTACCAGTTTATTTTAAAAGGATATAACTAGGAATAGCCAGATGTTAGAGATCGCACTGGGCAAGATATAGGAAAAGGGCACCAAAGCTTCCATGCACTCTCCAGTTGTGCCACTCTCCCTGAGTCTCCATATGTTCATCAACCCAGAAGGTCATCAAACCCAGTCCTCTGAGGTTTTATGGAAGCTTTATTACATAGGCATGATTCATTAAATCACTGGCCACTGGCAATGGATTCAGTCTCCAGCCCCTCTCCCCTAGAAGCAGGGGAACTCAAAGTTTCAACCCTCCAATCCCATGACTGGTTCCTCCTGGCAACCAGCCCCATCCTTAGGTGCTTTCCAAAAGTCACCTAATTAATATAAACTCAGGTGTGGTTGAAAGGGGTTTATTATGAATATCAAGACACCTTTATAGTTCTCATCACAGGAAATTCCAAGTGTTTAAGATCTATGTACCAAAAAACAAGGATTAAAAATCAAACATATATTTCTTATTATAAATTGTAATATCACATTCAGGAAAAAAGGGAAATAATCTCAGAAAATCATGCAAGAAGGAGTGAAAGCAATGAAAATGGTAAACGGACGCAAATCTGAACAAATTTGGCTATTAAGACAATAACGTTTGTGGAGTCAAAAAAAGGATAGACTAAGACATTGGACAGCAGTATTATGTAGATCGGGTGGAGATTTATAATCACTAAAACAGTTTAGCATTTCCACATTGCATTGATGAAGGACACTGTTATTGATTTTACAGTTTTTAATTTAAATATGCATTTAAAAAGTTTTAGAGGCAGCACTAAAACAGTAGAAGTAGACACATAGCTGCCTAACTGGTAAGTGGGGGAAAAAAAAAAATCAACTAAACTTTATAAAATTAACCAATCCAATAGACAGCAAAAATAAAACCTAAATAATACCATAAAAGTTAGAGAAGTGAAAAACTTCAAAAACAAGACAAAGTGATAAAATATAAACCATATCAACAATTAAAATAAATATAATTGGACTAAATGCTCCAGGAACAAGATTAAGTTTTCCAGAATACTTAAAAAACCTATCCACCCCTCCATATGCCAATTAAAAAGACAATCTAGAACATGAGAATACAGAATATAGGAAGCAAGATGGATGGAGAAAAACATGCTAAGCAAATACTAACTTAAGAGCCAACAAAGCTGTTATTCATCAGCCAACCAGCATTATTAGTGGTGAGACCCGTCATTATGTGTTATTAACAAATTTAATTACCTAGGAAGATACAATAATGCTTAAACTAGTGAGAATCTAAAACGCAGATTCAAAATATACAGAGCAAAAAAAAAAAAAAAGAAAGAAGGAAAAAACTGATGGTAAAAATTTGTTAAACCTGACAATGTAGAAGGAGATACTAACAACTCTCTTAGTGAGAAATGGATAAAACAGATCTAAAAGTTAGGAACAGCACCGTACAGATTAGTGAACCTAAATACAATATTGCTTGCAAAAGCAACAGCTAGAGAATATACTTTCCTCCCCTCACACCCCGCCACCCCACCTTCACCACCAAGATACAGGAAAGGTTTAGAAAACTGGATCATATACTAGGCCAACAGCAATTCTAAAGAAATTTCAAAGAATTGATATCACATGTTTATGTTCTCTGGCTACTGCAAATTAGATTAGAAAAGAGTGACAATGAAAAACCTTAATGTTAGAAATTAAAGAAAAACACATATCAAAGAAGAAATTATAATGAAAATTAGAAAATACAAGTGAAAAACATGAAAATAGTACATAACACTTGTTGGAAGCAAGAAAAACAGTATAGAAAGAGAAAACTACTTAAATATTTATATTAGAAAAAATAAACGTGAAAATAAATTATGTAAGCTGAAAAAAGAATAAAAGTAAATAAATAAATGGAAAAAAATAAAGATATTGATGATAGAAATCCAGTATTAAATAGAATCAATACAGCCAAAGCCAGTTGTTTGAAAACGATAATACAAAAAACTTCTGGAATCCAGGGAACAATGAAGAGACAAACAATGTTTAGAGTGAAAAGGAGACCGTAATTGCTGCTGCCATAGAGATTAAACGGATAAAAGAATATCATGAAAATACTTATGTCAATAAATTCGAAAATGAGGTAAAATGGGTATTTCTTAGAAAATTAGAAATCATGAAATCTGACCCCCAGGAGAAAATTTGACTGCTACGGTAACAGAATAAGTAGTTTAAAATCTCCCCATTTCAGAGTGCTCTCGGGAGAAATCCTAGTTGGAGGAGGAATAAGGAAAGGAAAGGAAAAAGTGGTAAACTGAGAACATGGTCTCAGGTAGAGTCTAACCTTGGCTTCATCCAAAGGCGAAACTTGGAAGTTTGATCCCACGGCAGCGTCTTGAAGCAAGAAGCCTGGCTTTTATACCCTATGGTTTATGGGCTGCTCCTGGGTAAAGGGTTTAATTTCCTAGTCATCTCCAGGTGAGCTGACCTGGTTAACGTCTGACAAAGGCAATTCCTCAGCGGCCACAGGTGTAAATCATTGGCTTCAGTACTCCAGCAGCAGGTGGGAACCAGCCAGTAATGGGAGATGTGAGCAGAGCACTAAAAATATGTTGAGAGAAGTTTGTGTACCACTTAGGTCTTCCCAAAACTCACGGATGAAAATCTGGAGCACTATGTTGCTTGTGTGCCAGAAAAGATCCTTGACTTTATGAGTATTATCAGGATGTTTGAGGTAAATGTATCTCTAGAGGAAATCAAAACAAACCCATCTCTGATGTTTCTATTAACTACAGAGAGATACATCAGAAAATCATTACTGGTGATTTCTTCACGTACAGGCAGAAGGGCCTGAGTGTGAGCCTAGCAGATTGCATCCCTCCTATAACCCAGACTTCACTGTTACCTGTGTACCTGAATGGCAAAAGAGGACTCCTTTATGTTAATTTCAGGTGGGCCCATGAAGGTCAACAACCAAAGAATTGGTGCCCTTTCCCCTATATTCCAAAGACTTATGCCAGACTTATAAAAGGGGTGCCCCCAAAGTTGTGTGGGGACCCTTCATCCAACACCCACAGACCGATAATGAAGATCAAAGTCAAAGAACACTGGGAAGAGAAATATTTTTGCAGAAAAAATCTGAGAATGTTGTAAACGTATAAAAACTTTTTAAGCCCTCCCCTTGGGAGATGGGTAAAGGCTGTATCCATCCTCTTGAATTCAGGCCCACAGAGAAAGCTGTAAGGTGATTGCTCAGAAAGTATGTGCTGTGATCACTACAACTGGGAACGTGGTGCACTTGTATCTGACTCCCATTTAAGAAACCTAAGTGTGAGAGACAATGTGGCTGTGAGTCACAAGAGCAGAGAAACAGTGAGATGCACTGGAAGCAAACTGTCCTAGTGCCACATATGGTTCCAGAGGCTTGGCTGTGGACCATAAGAGAAAGCCTAGAGCCATCAGAAATGGAACTCTGCTCAAGATAGTCACAAACCACGATGACGGGGCAATGGCCACAACAAAAAAAAAGTCTGCATAAGGAACACACAGGAGCTGAGTGGTGATGTCCCAGGACGAAAGTCCTCCCATTTCCCTCCACCTTGGGAGTTGCTATTGAAGTTCCCCCAAACCTCATTATTCATGTATTTAAATCTACAAAAGTAGCTCATGAGGTCGAAAGCCAGCGCTAAGTATTTTCCTAACCTGGTGCATAGTGTCCTCTTATAAGGCTCTTTTCCCTAAATCACTTTCTCATCTGGGTAAAACACTGAAGGGGCCTAAAACCAAAGTGGGGAGAGTGAGAGTAAGAGCTAGGAAAGAGCATTTTCTACACAGACCCTCCTCCTCCTCCCTATGGGAGCCCTCACTTAAATAACAAGGTAAGGGCTTCCCTGGTGGCGCAGCGGTTGAGAGTCCGCCTGCCGATGCAGGGAACACGGGTTCGCGCCCCGGTCCGGGGATATCCCACGTGCCGCGGAGCGGCTGCGTCCGTGAGCCATGGCCGCTGAGCCTGCGCGTCCGGAGCCTGTGCTCCACAACGGGACAGGCTACAGCAGTGAGAGGCCTGTGTACCACAAGCAAAAAAAAAAAAAGTTAGGAAGGAAGAATCTTTACGTGGCATACGTAATGAGTTATGCAGCTGTGCCACCAGACTGGACATTTTAATTTTTCAAATAACGCCATTCGTGAGACTAAAATTTAAAAAATAAATAAATAAAAGAGCAACATAGGTTAAGATTTCATTTAAGGGGTAAGGAAGAAATTTCTAAGGAGTGAGTTTAAAGGGTCATTAAGACAGGAGAAACATTTTTTTCTGCTTGTATCTTAATAGTTTCAGCTTTTTAAATAAAATAGTTATTGTTATGAGTTGAATTGTGTTTCTCTCAAATTCACATATTAAAGTCCTAATCCCAAGTACCTCAAAATGCAACCTCATTTGGAACCAGAGTCATTGCAGATGTACTTAGTTAAGATGAGGTCACACTGGAGAAGGGTCAGCCCCTAACTCAATATGACTGAATCTCATAAAAAAGGGGCGATTTGGACACAGGCACATATAAAGGGATAAGACCACATGAAAATTAAGATGTCCATCTATAGACCAAGACAGAGACCTGGAATGGATATTCCCTCATAGCTCTCAGAAGGAACCGACCCTGCCAACCCCTTGATTTGAACTTCTAGCCTCCAGAATTGTGATAATAAATTTCTTATGTCAGGCTGCCCAGTTTGTAGTACTTTGCTGTGTCAGCCCTAGCAGACTAATACAGTTATTCATTGAGAGAGGTGATTCCTTTTGTTCTAAATATTAATTTATTTTAGTCACTTTTAAGTATTGGAAACTTTAGCTCAGTAATTTTCATCATTTTGTTCAACATTAAAAGGCCTATGTACTACTTAACCTTTAGGAGCTTTAGGTTTTCATCCGAAAATAAATTCAGATGAAATTTCACTCCCAAGCTTCAAATCCTATAGTAGCTTCCCATTGCAAGGACATCGACATTAAGAATTCAAAATTCTTGGGCTTCCCTGGTGGCGCAGTGGTTGAGAGTCTGCCTGCCGATGCAGGGGATACGGGTTTGTGCCCTGGTCCGGGAGGATCCCACATGCCGCGGAGCGGCTGGGCCCGTGAGCCATGGCCGCTGAGCCTGCGCGTCTGGAGCCTGTGCTCCGCAACGGGAGTGGCCACAACAGTGAGAGGCCCGCGTACCGCAAAAAAAAAAAAAAAAAAGAATTCAAAATTCTTCACACGGTCCACAAATCCCATATGGTCTGCAGATTACTTGTAATTTCTAAACTCCAATCCTTCCTTTTGTCCCCTTCTTTGCCTCCTTTAAAAAGCCACACCACCAGAATAATACAAGTTCATCCTGTTCTCAGGACCTTGGCACATAACTTTCTTTTATATTATGGTACCAACTACCATAGCTAATGAAATCCCAGTGCTCACCATTGGTACCTCTACCTCATTGTCCTGTTTTATCTTTTTCTTCACACTTATTTGTTCCTGATATAATCTTATTTATTGATGTGCTTATCATCTCTTCTCTCTCCTCTAGAAATTAATCTCCTTGAGGAGTGGGACTCTGTCATTCTCGTTTATCCCTGCATCCCAGTGGTATGAGACAGAAAACGTGCTCAATCAACATTTTTTGACTGATTGACTCTAAAACAAGCAGGATGGCCTCATTTCTTCCCATTTATAGGACTAATTCCCTATACTTTTCACATTTTGCTTCTTAACGTGAGTGTAGTCACTAGACCTACATTCAGAGCAACATTGTCATTCCTTTTCCTCCCTTTCTCCACTCTCCGTTTATGCTGATTAATAGGCCAAGTGGGCTAGATGAAAGCCTATGACACTGAAGTTTTCAAAACATGTGTCATCCAGTCAATTTTTAGCATGTAAATTCTTAGATTAAAATGATAATATTTAGAAAAATGGAATTCTAAATCTTTCATGATTTTTCCAATCACCCCCAAGAAAGTCTAGAAATAGTTGATCTATTTATTTTTTTATTCTTCAGATACTGTTTGATATTTGCTCAAAATAGGGTTAGTATTGCCTCCAGGGTATATTTACATTACTGTAGGTACTGGTGTTTTAGTAATGCTCTCTTCTATTTATATGTTCAGTACCACCCTCTCATCATCTTTTTCTCTCCTCCTCCAATTATTTTAACTTCCATTAATGGAAATATTTTCTTTTCCTAATCCATTCTGCTTCCAGCCTCTATTGTGAACATTAAGTTATAACCTATGTTATTTAAACATATATCTGGGTTCATCAGTATTATGTGATGATCTAAGAGCAGAGGGGTAAGAGTCTGGGGAATAACTATATTACTAACAGTATTCCTCATGCTTATAATTAAAGCAAATGCTGAAAATAAGTAATACAATAATAGCAGTGTATCAAACTTCAAAAATTTAGTTGAAGAGTTAAATTAATATTAAAGCTTGAATAAAATTAAATTTCCTTCCTCCTTCTCTCACTCTTGTGTTCTTGTGGAACACAGATTAATTCACTTGCATAAGTATTAATCAATATGCTATGGTACAAACTTCTGGAGCTCAGGATACAAAAACATTTATTGAGCCCTTGCTGTATTCATATTACAGAATCCATAGCTCTGGGATTGTATTCAAATTTAATAATAAAATATTTATTCTGTAAAGTTCTCTGTGTTAAATCCTTTACAAGTCATGGCTACTTGGACCACAATCCTAAAATAATTGCGAAGACAAAGCTAATACTGAAAAAAAAATACTTAAGATATCATATAAATTTTTGTAAAATACTGTACATAAATAAAACCAAAAGAAATAAAATAGTCAGCAAGCTTAATTAAGTAGAAATAGTTGGAAAAGTCATCTTTTGCAAATATTTTAAGGTTGTGTTGTTTTATAATCTATATCTCCACCTATTCCAAAAAGATTTGCAATCACTAACCTTGAAGAGATGTTGTTAACTGCTGTTAAATTTATCAACATTTATTTACCAACAAAGAGAAATAACTAAAAAGTGAAATAAGCTTGTTGTGATAATGAAGGTACGTGCAAAATACATGATATAGGAGTAGGATCACAGATTTCTTCAATTGCGAACCACCATGAACATGTTAGTTCTACTAAGGTTAAACTCAGTGCTACAGGAAAGAGAGCTTGTTCAAAGGCTCCTACCCCATATTTGAATGATCTCAAGGCCTCTCTGAAAAGTTTCCACTACCCTTCCTGGCACTCTGCTAACCTAATGCCTTTTCAATCATATGTGGTACACAGATAGGCATTCCCTACTATGTGCCAAGAAAAATAACTGGGCATCTTAGTCATACAATGTAGGCACAAATTCTCAGATATGATCCGTTACCATTCCCAAGCCAGGTCCTGAACCAGAAGTTCCTGAACGCCACAGTCTTGGACTACGGTTCTGAATTGACCAGCATGTCTAACTTCTCCCCATTGTGATCTGTTTGTCTAAGGTATAGTTATTATGACAGCCAAGGGGCTCCACTTAAGCACATGGTGACTTGGAAAATGCATCTGTGCCTGTACTCTATCTGTACTGGTTTTCATGAATATCTGAACAAAAAGCGGGAAGCAGTAAAGGAATCCATCCTAAGATAAGGCTTAATGTACAACTTTACGTTGCCAGTCTCAAGGTGGCATTTTGGCATGAAACTCAATTTTCTCTTAGAATAATTTGCATGGGGATTATGGGCTAAATGTTCTCAAAGAGTCTAAGCTATAATTCTTTTTGAGTCTGCACTTTGGCATTTAACTACAGCATATGCAAGCCTAACTTACAGTCTTAGTCTTTACATTTGTCCAAATTCTCTACACGATGCCAGCCAAATTTTAATGAAAAGCGTTGCTTCCCGACATGATTTACTTGCTCTGTGCTTTTTTTTTTCCTAGAGGGATTTTTTCTTTACATTAAATATAAACTGAACTTTTACTGAGATTTCTGCCGTCAGTGAAAATTCTCTTTGTGAACCTCCAATCTTCCAAACACCCAACCCTATGCAAAGATAAAATAGTAATAAATCTAACTTGTTTCCTTCCATGCTATAATAAATGTTTAGACTATACAGAATGATCTTCTGTTGTATGAAGCTAGTATTTAAAAGTCCATTGGATTTGTGCCCCTTAGAGTGAATCACACAATCCTGAAAAAAGCACAAGACAAAAAGGAAAGAAGAAAAATATTAAAAAGAAAAAAAAATAGAGAAAATGAGTAGGGGAAGAGAGAAAAATAAGGTTACTAGAAACTGCAGAAGCTGCAGTATCTGTTTATAATGTGGCTGTAATACTACCTTGGTCAGCAACTATAATGTAAAAGGTAATGTGTAAGAGTTTTATATGCTTTTCAGAACTACAAAGGGAGTGTGAGTGGGTTTTAAACATTTTGATTAGCACCACAAAGATTTTAATGCTTTATTTAAACAGTTTGCTATAGGGCAAACACATTTGGTAGACAAGGAAAATGAAAGCATGGGCATCAGTTTCTCTGTTTTCTATTAAGTAATGTTGCGAAGTAAGCAGAAGTTGGATTCAGATACCAGATAATTATCTCCACACTGTGTCACAGTAAATAATTTTAATTGGTTTAACTTCAGGGACCATTACTGGCCTAATTAGAAACATGAAAAGGCTACAAGTATTAGGAAATATCCTGAAGGAATGAGAACATTAGCAATTCTGTCAAGCCATTTTTAAAATAAGTACACAGTAGCAGCCGCATTTCAGTGAAAGGCAGGGTACTTGAAAGGTGCTTTTAGGTAAACAGTGCTTGGGACTGTGTAATAAGAGATCTCTAACAGGAAGCTTAGAAATGGGGTAACAGGCTGACATGTATGCTATTACTGTGTTAAAAACATACTCATCTCGTTCTGATGGCTGTTTTTAAATGAGCAGGTTAAGGTTTTCAGAGTCAAGGAACAATAATTGAGGTTGGGT